GCAATTTTAAAATCTATGTTCAATCTCATATTTCTGAAGTAGTGATTTCTTTTACTTGATTCATCGATTTCCCCACATCAAATCAACCTACACAGACAAGGACATATGGTTATATATGTTTATTAACTAAATGAATGAAGAGTAAATAGCATGAAATGACAATTCAAACAAACAACAACAAGTAACAGAATATGTGGACAGTAAATGAATTATTAATATTGTGTGATTCAGGAGCGATGGTGGATTTTGCGATACGGCAGTATATTTAAAATATTACGGGAGTAAATTTTAAAACTACGAGGCCCTAATCGAAAATTCTTCTAAGCTTAAACTATGGGAATCAAAGCTCACAGACAGACACCAACTCCTGGGAAGTGTGTGGGACCCCGGCAGTGTATGTGGGTTTCAGCCTATTTTTTGTAGAGACGGGGGGACTTCAGGATCTTTCTCCTCTAGCTGGTACTGTTCGGGTGCTGTTCAGAATCACAGGTCCAAGAACGTGTCGTCACCGATACCAATTAGCCAGTCCAAGGCCCAGCGCGGCTTGACGCTTTGAGTGCGTTGGACGCAGATAGTCTGGAGAATAATGTCTTTGTCTGGCTGAAACGTTTATACGTCTCCTTGAGCGGTCAACCACTGCGATGTCCTTCTGGCTTATGATAAATGTCTTAAGAAAAGTCCCTCAGAGTGGTTGGTCTTCGGCTTTGATTATGAACTAATCCAGCTTCTTGTCTAAAATAACTGTAGGATGAAACGCTGGCCTGGCGAATCCTCTGTAGGCAGTAAATCCAAGAATTAAATTAAATTCACTTTCTGTGAATAAGGCAACAATACTTGACAATATATATAAACAAAAAAAACGTATAAAAGAATTAACTTTGTTCGTGTCTTGAGCCTTCAAAATAAAAGTACTAAAAAGTACTTCAGCACTGCAAACTATTAAGTGAGGAAAAGTTCAACACGTGTCTCAAACGAAGTTAAGTACAGAAATTAAGAAATTAAAAGTAGAACGAGAGTAAATAACGAATGGATCCAAAGCAAATTTAAGAAGAGAGTTTTGGAAGTGTAAAAGTAAGAAGAGAATAAGAAGAGCGGAGTCTATATTATATATGTTTTAGTCTGGAGGCGTATCCGGAAAGGCTAATCGCGTCACTTCCTTTAGCGATATTTTGATATTCGTAACTTTATTAACTTACTTCTATCGTGTTTTAAAGTTTCGAAATCATAATTCACCATTCACAGAACCCACCATGACTTAATACATAGTTTACATTTTAACATAACATAACCAAAATTACTTGATGTAAAAATAAAAGCAGAACTAGTTAAAATGTCACAAACATGCATATGAAGCAACACCAATGGATTGTACATATTTTGTATAGTGTTAGCTTAATTTTTGTTGCATTCAGACATTTTACACATGATTTTGTAACTTAGTCCAACCTGGGAATGTGAACATCAGAAAAGCATTACATTTGCGACCTTCTCATGCTGGATGGCAATCTGGTGATTTTGAGAAGATGAAATTTTACAATAATACTCCAACAGAACTAAATCTATATCAATGCCGGTGCTGTTACCGATATGGATTGGAATGTCCTCCAACAAATGGACCTCTCATAAATTACCTTGAAGGAACCTCTCTCTGGAGGTGGTACAATTTAGATCAAAGGAGGTGCAAACACATTCCATGTCCATTCCATAGGGATTTACAACTAAAAAGGCATTTAAATAATCACACATCTCTTGTAAGAAAACAACGGTTTCCAGAACCTAAGTGTGAAGTGTTGTTCTGATCTATGGAGGAGTCAGTGTTCTGTTGAAGAGGATAAAACAAATTGACACCTAGGGATACCATCTGTGAATCTGAAAAGAACCAGGCTCTCTGTGCAGGAGACTGTCGGCGCCACAGTCTCACCTCCCCTCCTGGGTCAAAAAAGTCAGAGAGAGAGACCTTTCTGAACTGGGAAAGAATTAAAATAATATGATGAGTGTGGAATTAAGAAACCAAAAAGAAAAATCTCTTGTGATGATAATAGACGATGACAAGGTCCTACAACAGATCCTTCGGCTCTAGGTGGGTGGTCGTCTGCCTTGACCAGTTGGGGTGAGAGAGAGAGAGAGAGAGAGAGAGAGAGAGAGAGAGAGAGAGAGGCAAGCCACTACTAGCCAAGAGCCAGAGAGTCATTTAAGGCAGGGACATCCAACTAGCTAACTATAGTTCAGTTAAGCTGGGGTTGTGTGGCTTGCTGTGTTTTGGCTGCATGGTGTGGGACTGGCATTGGTTGCTTTATGGTGTGGGCTGATGGTGTGATTTGTAAATGGCAAGCTAGTTAGTAGCATTAGTAGCTGTGTACAGAGCACAAGCACAAGCACAAGCAACAGCAGTTCACTTAACAGCCACTAGTGTCACTATTAACAATGGTTTTCTCAATGTTACATACAGAACATTTAAAGGTGGGTTGAGAAATCCAATACCATGACAAATACCATGATATAGACCAGTCTGAATTCAGGAATAGCCTAGTGAAGAGGAAAAAGTATGTTTCTATGTTTATTTATTTTTAAATCAAATGAAAGAAACGCCTTCTGAAAAGTAGCTTGTGCCTTAGCCTGCCTTCAATCAAAAATTACGATAAACTTGTTGCTCTCATTCAACATCTTTTATTGTTGCACATGCTCATTTTTCCACAAATGTCAAAATTGTCCTGGCTTTGGCTTTGCGCACAATTGCGGTGTCTCAATAACAACCATCAACATATCAGAGAAGAGCATGGTAATTGCAAGCCTTGCACATCAGCAAATAGTTCTAATGACATATAAAAGCGACAGGCCACAGTTTTTAGAAATGTTACTCTTTACATCAAATCAAAGTAGCCTGTGATCCAACAAATAAACACAAATAAAGTAAAACCAAGAAAATCCCAAGACTAAAATACTCACGTTTGCTTAATGGGAGAAGTTACATTTCCCCTTCGACACTATCTTTTTAACATCGGGCTTGACAGCTGTCAGGCTTATGCGCAAGCAGTCCTCCAAAGACTGGTTTGACAGTCGGTTCCTCTCATGCGTTTTTCTAGAGTTCATTGAGAACGCAGCTTCACAGGTGTTTGTTGATCCGAACATGGTGAGCACATACATGGCCAATGTCTTTAGTGTGTCATACTCTTGGGGACAAGCCACCCAAAAGGCACTCAAGCTTTCAGCACCACAGAGAGCAGCCTTCATGTCACCAGCGGCCTAGATGTCAATCAGTTCACTTTGAATAACCGCCTCGTCCAGCAGCATCACCTTCCTCACGTTAGCAGAGAATTCTTCACCTAGGCTGATAGTGAACAGGTCACGCATAAATCCAATGACATCCCTGGAAGTGGCAAAGTCATCAAATCTGGCAGAGAAATGTTTGCCTCAGCTGTGTGATAAATGTCTTCGTGTTCTCTGTGACCTTACTGTCACCCACTGTCTTAAGTGTGCTAAAGTGTAGCAGCCTCCCCGACAACAAATCTTCGTCGAAGAGATCAAGTTTGTCTCCAAAGGCATCGAGTTTTTCCACCATATTCAACACAGGGTTTTCTTTCCCCTGTAGTTGTAGATTTAGTGCCTTCAAATGGGAAAACACGTCTAAAAATGCAACGTTGCACGTGTATTCTGTGTCTTGCATGATGCGCAGGTGGTCAGCTGCCACTTTTGATTGACTTTGCATTAAAAAATCCACTACTTGATCCTTGAGTTCAACGAAACTCTCCAGTGCTTTGCCCTTACTAAGCCAGCATACGTCGTTATGGGGTAAGAGTTCGTCATGAGAGGCTTCAGATTCCTGCACAAATTTTTGGAATAAACGGTGCTGTGTGCTTGAATTCCCCCTGATGAAGTTAATTATTTTCATTTTTTTGTCCATAGCCTCTTTAAGATCGCCACTTAATTTTGCGCACAGCACGCTTTGGTGAATGAGACAGTGAAGTGCGTTAATGCTGGGAGCGACAGCCTTAATTCTGTTCACTAGTGCCCTGTTTCTGCCCATCATGGCAGGAGCACCATCTGTGACAACCAGGTTGACTTTTTCAAATGACAGCCCATTGAAATAGTTCCTCCAGCTTACCAAAGATAATAGCGGCCAGGTGGTCAGGCTCTCCAGTGTAATCAAGGCCAGCGGCTCCTCTTTGAAATATTTGCCATCAAAATATCTGACGAAACAACCATTTGGGAAATGTCAGTATTGGTACATGGGTCGCCAGCTCTACCCACTGAGCTAACCGGGTGCCCTCTTTATGTCTTTTTTAAACACTTGGCCGTAATCTTTTATAATACTATAGAAGATAATAAAATGTTATAATATTATAATATGGGTTTGTTAACACTGACAGAGGCTGTCAGATATTTGGAATGAAAATTAGTATATCAAATAATAACATATTACCTAGGATACAATACTAATTTTATTTTATTTTACGAGCATCTGGCCCTTACAGTGTCTGCAGAGAAAAATTCTGGCCCTTGGACAAATATAGTTGATGACCCCTGATATAGTCCAAACAGCAAGTACTGTAATTAAGATTTGCTCGTTGTGGATTATTGCTGCTAAAGACAGACAGCAATACTCACAACTCTACTGCTACTATAGCTAACATTACAACAACAGCATATCCTGGCAATCAGAGTAATTTAACATTACCTGACATGCAAATCCTGGCTAGAATAACAAGTTAGTGTTGTGTGGCTCTGTCCAGTCCACTTTGTTTGTTTTTCATTCACATAGCTAGGGCTGTGTACAACCACCATGTATTTTTTAGTTCACACACACAAACAGCAGAAAGCTAGTGGACTGTGTGGAGATATTTGCTTTATTTGAAAAAAGTGTATTGAATTCAAATCACATTACATTGAATCTCTTACCCGACCTTTAACCCCATGTGTAAAATATAAATCCAGCTGTCTGTTTTTACTATGTAGATGAATAAACAGGTCAAGTTCCTAACAAATGCTGTCCTCTGTTGCAGGTGTCTTCCGAACCTGTGTGAACATGGAGGTCGGTGTTGGCAGTCCTGGACCTCCTTCTCCTGTGATTGTTCGGGGACTGGCTACTCTGGAGCCACCTGTCACAAGTGTGAGTCTCTACTGCAGTTTGGTGTAATTTACATACACACTGTTTCTGTCGTCTGCTGTCTGGGTCATAGTTTGACACACTGATGTGCAATGATTGAGTTAGAGAAGAGTGACTGATTTTAAAGCTGTCGCTTTTCCCTCCTTTGAGTTAAATCCTGTAGGCTTTGAGCATTTTCAGTAGTGTAACTGGGAAATGTCATAGAAACAGATCATAAGATTGTGATGTTTATTGTCACCTCAGAGTGTTGAGATATATACATATATTATGATCCTTAGCACCCTTAGTATTATCTTAATGAAATGTACTGAAACAAATGGTATCGCACTGCATCTCATCCTCATCCTGTATATCCTGGGTGTATCTGTATTTGTAGAAAAAGTGTAAAGAAAGAAGATCCTTGAGCCATAAGAGAGAAGGATAAAGATTAGGATAATTCAAATGCAATGTGATCTCAGAGCTAAACCAATGGCAGGACATTTAAAGACTTTAATCTTTTGTCAAAAAATGAGACCAATACTTTTGTACACTTAATTACCTTGTAGTCACCATGTACAAGCTGATGTCTGGGAACACAGTGACATCTCTAAAAAGAAGAACCATAATCAGGTTAGGAAACCAACAATTTATCCAGATGATCTACTTTATTTGGAGTTCAAACCCAAAGGGAGTGCAAATGCTGTTAATAGTCCCCTATCTGTGAACAAAGCAGCAGTAAAAATAGATGGTCAAAACAACAAAAATGAGGCCCAAGTTGTAAAAACTAGAGTTAAAGCTCCAGACTGACACATAGGCTATATGTTAAAGTTTTTCCTCTTTGGTGTCAGCTTTTGACATCACCTTGTTATTCAGCGTGGAGCCGTCTGTAGGAGTCCGTGTGAACTTCCTGTGCCCCTAGAATGCTGATTTCCTGTTTATATGCAGGCAGGTGCAGCTGTCCTCGCATGTCAGAGGGAATGTGACAGCAAAAAAACATGTCTTGAATTAAAAATAGGCTCATACAGTGTTACTTACCAAAACACACTGTGTGTATCCTTGAGCTCCAAACATGCTGAATGCATGTCTTTTTTTTTTCCTTTTTATTTTATTTTAAGTGTTTATTTATATCCAGCATTGTTTAGATCCATATTTACTAGCTCGTTGTCTTATGCTGTTTTTCCTGCTGCATCGTAGCATAACTGACACCTGATCAGTGGAATAGTGTGAAACCACTGCAGAAATGTTTATTGTGTCACTCAAGTTCCAACTTTTTTTGTGTGCACAAAGTAAACAAAGAAGAAAATGTTCCATAGCTCTACCAGAATTCCAAAACGCAGCAGAGAAGCTTTAAATCTCTGGTGTGTAGGATTTAGTGTCATTTACCCCAAATTCCACCAAGCATGGCCGTGACACATTTCGGCTCAGTCCATTCTAGACAATGCTCAAAAATTCCACCAGAAGCGCCACAAGTGTATCTCCACGTAGAATATAGAGCTGGTCAATTTTTGACAAAAGCCACAACCCACTCGCAGCAAGCAGCAAAGATCAGATTGCACTGGCAGGAAGTCAAAGAAACGACATGAATTAAATTTCAAGCTACATGTTGGTCGAGGCAGACGACCACCTACCTAGAGCCGAAGGGTCTGTCCTAGGTTTCTGCCTCTTAAAAGGCAGTTTTTCCTTGCCCCCGTCGCCAAGTGCTTGCTCATGGTGGTACTGTTGGGTCCTTGTAAATAATGTTATAAGGAGTACGATCTGGTCCTGCTCTATTTGAAAAGTGTCATGAGATAACTTCTGTTATGAATTGGCAAATAAAATTGAATTGAATTGAATTGAGTCAACATTGTGGCACCAGACAGATCCTCTTTCTCATTGCTTTATGCAAGAACAAATAAAAAATAAGAAAACATTAGTGCATGAGGCCCACTGTTTTCTACATCTTACACGTATTAGCACTCACCAATGAAAACAGTGAAGTTTTGTTCTCTTTCAACTCACCTTTCCTAACTTATGTATTCTTATTCTTGTTTTTCTGTAACAAACTGTACATTTTTTGTCTGTCAGTAACTTTTGGCACATACACAGCCCATATAATAAAAAAAACATGAAATATTTCCTTATTCTTTACTATATATTGATATAGACACGATAACAGGAAATTATTACGTCATTCCGATAAGTCCGATCATGACGAATAGCGCCGATAACATATATAATTTTGTCAGCACGGCAGTGCCCCACTCCCACTATGAGACCTGAATGGCCTGCAGTGAATGCTGCGTTCAAGTGACGTTGGCATAATCAGAAAAACTCTTTCTGACTGGGAAAATTCAAGAGTACCCCCTCATGTCGGAAAATAACTCGTTAACTCGGTCACAATTTTGGTAGTTGCTGACTTGAATTGATAGCCACAGTATTTTTCTACATGTTACACATAAATAATAGAAACATGAACTTAAAAAGGCTGAAAGAACGACTAGCAAACGTGGGAACAGGGAATTTCCGTCACACCGTGAATGCAGCACAGCGTGCTTACGTTTGAAAACAGACAACATGGCGTCGATTGTGTGGGACTTTTTCAAAGTTTCTGAAGAAGACAGGTTGCTTGTTATTTGTAACAAATGTTCCAAGCAAGTTCCACGAGGAGGTAAAAGTAGCACGAGCTTCAATACGTCAAACCTGATAAGTCACCTGAAACGTAGCCATTGCTTCGACAGAGTTTTGAAAGCATATGAGGATGGAAATGAAGGCACTTGACGGTCAGCCAGGCACTTTTCTCGCCTGATTAATCACTTGGAGCCACGGTTTACATTGCCAAGCCGCCGCTACTTTTCTGATGTGTGCCTTCCAGCTAAGTATGATGCGATCGATCGCCATATATATATATATATATATATATATATATGTATTAGGGGTGTCACGATTTCGAAGTCGATCGAAATTATATCTCAATCTCGAACTTTAGGCTGCAGCCAGTTAAAAAATACACATCAACCGAACGGAATTGAAGCCCCTCTTGCTACTCTGAAATCACCAGTGTGGAAGTATTTTGTCGTTCATTCACGTCAATTAACAATAACTTAGCCTAGCAAGTGAAAAGATGATCTAGTTACAGTCCAAAATTACTTTAAGGCTTAAAATGCACATTGATAAGTACATATTCCGTGAACACTAACCTTGGGTCTCTTCGGAGTGTGCTGAAACAATCAAATCATCATTCTGTGTTGTTTCATTTTACGTCTCTGTTTAATGTTGGTTCTGTTTACAACCTCGCGGTTGGAACGGTTTCAAAATAAAAAGCGGTTTCAAAATAAAAGCCCGCCAAAACAGAATAGGAAAAGGCCAAAAAATCGAATCAAGACTTTAAAATCGAAAATTAAATTGAATCGAGGATTTGGAGAATCGTGACACCCCTTATATATATATATATATTTTTTTTTTAATTCTAGAATGCACTTTTTCAGTTTGTAATCCCAATGCATATTTGCATCAGTTCAAGGGGCCTTTATTTTATTTTTTATAGGTTTGCCAATATCTCCATTTAAAGAGTCAAAAGTGTTTTTGGCTTTGTTCATAGTATTAATGTCGTGATCTTAGGTCATGATCATATATATATATGTATATGTGTGTGTGTTATCAGTTTTCGGTATCGGCCTTTAGGAGCTGAATGTTATCGGTTATCGGTATCGGTTTAAAAAAAAAAGTTATCGTGCATCCCTAACATATTGGGTCAGAAGAAAAGAAAGAAAAAGTGCAATGATAATCCACATTTCCGTCATTCTCCTGTATCACGTTTTGTTGAACATGTAATAAAATGTATTTGGTCCCAGCTCCTTCTGTCCACAAGACATTGATTAATATTGCTCCTGATGGTAAGACCTGCCACTTGCCTGGTCGCCAGTTTGGACAAAAGCTGCAGCCATGCAGCAAATCTAACCCCAAAAGTCAGTGTCAATACTTCATGTTTCACAATAAATGGTAATGGTGAATGGACCTGCACTTGTATAGCGCCTTTCTAGTCTTCCGACCGCTCAAAGCACTTTTACACACATTCACTCAGCGATGGCAAAGTCCATTGAACAGAAACTAACTCATTCACACATTTTGACAGCAATTTGGGGTTCAGTATCTTGCTCAAGGATACTTCGATGTGTGGCGGGAGGAGCCGGGGATCGAACCATCAACCTTCCAATTAGTGGACGACCCACTCTGCCTCTGAGCCACAGCCACCCCAATAAAAGCCTCAATTTTGTTATTAATTATTAAATAACATCAGCGGCAGCTTTACACGTTTGAAATGTGACAAATGATCAGAGTGTGAGGATGAGTATGATGAGAACTCAATATACAAAATTGATTGGTGTCACTAAATGTTTAGACTTCCCAGTTTATATGGAATCTTTAATTAGATATGCTATATGGTTGCTGGTGTTTGTTCTGTCGTAAAATGCAAGCTAACTAGCAAGTTAATTATTGATGTAGATTAGCTAATAAATCAATAATGTTTTTTTAACTTACAAAATGTAGTTAGTTTTAAAATCTTTATGTAAACAATTAATACAATATATATATATATATATATATATATATATATATATATATATAATAATTATATATAATTAACATCTGTTTTTACAGTGCAGATTGACAACTTCACTGTTTTTTTTTACTCTACTCTGCTCCCATTTAATGCTCTCTCTCTTTCTACACACAAAAAGGAGCTGCCACACATCAATTGACAATGACTTTGTTTCACAGGCTGCCATTTTTGAGGAAATTCGAAAATTGTGTTTGCTATTGATGGTATGGGGTTTTAACAGGATGTCCTGTGCTGTGTGAGAAGTCAGTGTTCTGCAGTGGTTTAAGGTCACCTTTTAGTATCAGCTCAACAGATAATGATAAGCTGTAAATTTCTTGCCGTGAACAGGGAGCTGTTGTTGTTTTTGTACCTGAAGAAAAATCTGTCTGCTCCTTCCAGCCATCTACGAATCATCCTGCGAGGCCTACAAGCTGATTGGCAGCTCCTCTGGTTTCTACTCCATAGATCCAGATGGGAGTGGCCCCCTGGGGCCAGCACTGGTCTACTGCAACATGACAGGTGAGTTCACCGCAGTCCATGTTGTCACCTTTACTCTCTCAGAGTTCCAGCGGGACTCAGAGTCTCTCACAGATCTTACCGCATCGATCTGCAGCGCTGACACTTCACTGTCCAGAGAGAAATCATTACGGTCACTCGATATGCTTCCTGCCGACAGTTCAGAACTTCATTTGTGTGACGTCAATGTGTTTTGTAAAGTTTGTCCATGAGAAACACACTGCAAAAGAATCATTTAAACTAGGTTGTTGCTTTTTTTAAACAAGCTGTCTGAAGGATGAGCTCATGGCTTTTCCAGAATGATCGAATAGTGTTTAATTGTTGGTTTTGTTTTTAAAAATGCATGTTCATAGATGTTCTTCAGGGATACAAGACAAAAACAGAATGAAAGAATACTTGAAAGATACAGAGAAATTTAATGATTAGCCCCAAAACAACATCAGTGTATCTCTGATAGAAATGTATTTACTCCATGTATGGACTACAACAATCGGGTATCATGGATCCAATGTATGAAACAGAATGACAGGAAACATTTTTCTTTTGTTAATTACAGACATTTGCAGTACACCACAATAAATGATGTGATGATAACAGCAGGCAAAACAAAAATCATATCTCATAACAGCTTGCTTAAAAAGAAAAATATCTAATGAGAACACAGTCATCATTTATCCTTGGTGATGCTGTGTGAGCTCGGAGCAACACCTGTCCTTTTGCACCACGCAAATGTCAAGTGTGTGGTGGTGGCTGCCTGTCGAATGCATTGCTCTGGTATGATCACAGCGGCCAGCATTAAATTAAAAGGATGTGGGACTAGTCAAGGGAGGGTTAATTACAGTAGAGAAAAAATGGTAAAATCTTTCCTTTTATGGCACAAAATTGTACTTTGTAGTTTCAATACACAAAAAACTACACAAACTACCAGCAAGCTGCTGCAAAATTAAACTATTTGTTTAATTACATGTAGTTTACTACGTCCAACGTTGTCTAGCCAAGTAGTTTTGGTGCCCAAACCAACCAAACTGCAACTCTTTTACAACGTGAATGTGTGATGATGAGTCGTGGGCAATTGACCTATCCAGTTGTTTAGAGAATATGTTGGCTAATTTACGTGTAACATTACATCAACAAACCAGGTATAACAGCATGACAGCAATAACATAATATACTATTGGTGTACTGTAATGTGCAATTTCTGTGTTCTTTCTACAGAATTTTTAGGAATAGTTTGAAAACATGTTAAATCTTTTAATTTACTTTAAGTAAAAAGTATTAGGACAACAATCTGTGCGTACTGACTGTAAAACCTGTTTTTGTATATCGAGGAGAAGGTGTGGGTTTATGCTACCAGGCTTACTTATATCAGGTTTTGTGTGTGTGTGTGTGTGTGTGTGTGTGTGTGTGTGTGTGTGTGTGTGTGTGTGTGTGTGTGTGTTTAGAGGAGAGGGTGTGGACAGTGCTGACTCACAACATCACAGCTCCGGTCAGAGTCCAGGGCTCGTCTCTGCAGAAACCTCACATCATGATGTTAAACTACAGTGCCTCAGCCAAACAATTGCGCACCATCATAACGGGGTCAGAGCAGTGCCAACAGGAAGTGGTTTACAACTGCAGGAAGTCCCGCCTCTTCAACACCAAAGGTAATATTGTCTGTTTAAGAAAATTATTTTCCTCTGAAGGTGACGTTACCACTGAATGTTCTCTCCTCTCTTCCTCCATCCCATTGTGTTAGAGAGAACCCCTGCCTGACCTCATGAACGAATACTCACTTTAGTGTTGTTGTTCTTTTCTGAAGCAATCTCAATATTTTCTGTGCATATTCAACTGGAATTGCTCTAAAAGCCTTTGGTGTCCCAAACATTGCACATATGCTCCTAAATCATGAAACATTCATGAAGTCCCGGATTCCACCATTCCCTCTGAGCCTTGTGAACACAAACAAACAATTTAATTATCACAGCAGATCAAAGAGATACAGAGAACAAGCTGTTTATAACTGTTGACACTCTCTGCCACAGCTGGATATTTTCAGCTGTTGCCTTTGTTGTCTGAGCACAGACACAGACTGTGCTGTGGAGGACAGTCAAAGGCTGTCAGCCATGTAGACACGAATATCATTTCCTACACACCCACAGCCTTTTCTAATTATTATTGGGCATGATCAAGTTCATTTTAGTAACCATGCTAAGAGAGGACCAGGTTTTTATTTGAAACAGGCCATAATTAAATATTGTATGTATACCACATTAAAGAGTTTTTCATTATCTAAGGCAGTGGTCTTGAATTGGAGCCTGCGTGCCACATCAGGCCAACTAAATGGCCACAGATGAAAGTATTTCAACATTTATATATTTACAGTATGATTATTATTGGCAGAAATTAATGTAATATGCATAATTATGTTTTCAATAGTGTATAATCAGCTGATTTTAAGAACTGTTGTGTTATTGTTACTTTAGAATGAGGCATTTTATTTACAGATGCCACAGGTCGCCTTCCATGGAGTCCATCATGTTGAATCATCATGTTTGTACAATAGCCCTGAAGGGACAAACCAAACAACACTGGCTCTAGATAAGACTTTTTGCGTTTTTTGCAGCCTCCATAATCTCTACTTCGTGCTTGGAAGGGGAGGAAGTGTAGGAGTTGCAATCTGCAACTACATCACTAGATACCACTAAATCAGGCACACTGGTCCTTATACTAACAACAACCATATCATCAAATTTCTGAAATATGAAAGTTTTTGCACATAATGAATGAAAATGAACAGATGTGGTATACTGAGGGATGAGGGGAGGGGGATGAGGGATGAGGGATGAAGGGATGAGGGTAGGGTCGAGGGAAGAGGGTAGGGTGGAAGGATGAGGTATGAGGGTAGGGTCAAGGAATGAAGGTTGAGGAATGAAGGTCGGTTGTCGGATCGATGAATCCGAACGGGAACGGGAATGCTGAACGAATTATGTGGGGAATGGGAAGGTGGATTGTACTGCGATGCGTTCTTTCGAGCGGGTAGATACTGGCTGTTTGCATTCGATTGGACTGAGTGCAGTTAGGAGTTCTCTGTGGATGTGAGGGTTGCATGTGGATGGATGTCAGAAAACTAATGTTACAATGATGACTGAAATAAAACGATTAACTGTTGCAGGGTTTCTTTGCTTGCTTGGACAAAGAGTCGAACCAGTATTTTGAATGAAAATAAAAAAGTTATATTACATAAACATTTTAAGAATTTGCCATAAAAGATTAATTATCATTAAATAAATGTTAACGGGTAAGGAGAGGTGACCCTGGAACGAAGGAATGAGTGAACAGATAAGCTGTGCTTAAGTAAGTTTGAGTGGATATGAGGTGATTGCAGGGCGTGGTCTTTGTTCCCGAACCTAGTTATAAAACTTCATTTAAACACAGAATGCAAGTTGACTTTTATTATAAAGTAGTTGTCACAGAAAATGCGTTTTGTGATGGTCCTTGTCTAACATGTTGATGTACTGATGTGGTGGACAAGTTACTGTTTTTCCTGTGTGTCCGTGAAGGTACCATTAGCAGCGTACCGGTTTTGGAGCACCTGGGTCAGGCCCTTCTAAAGGATGCATCCCCTCCAGCAGCAGCACGTTCTTAGCTTTTGTTTGATTTCTGCTTTGTTTTTACTTGACATCATTTACACCTCATATTGCTCACACAACCACATTTACATTACTGATGTTACTGACTGACACACTCCACATTTGTACTTTATTGCTTCAGTTGTTTAAGTTACTATGCCAACTGTTGTGTCCTCCTCCGTATTTGTCATGGCCTAGGAGCCGGGTTATGACAGTTTGTCAGTGAACTTGATGCTGGCTGCTATCATTCAAAAACTACAAAACAAGACAGTGGTCATTCTCCAAATTTTTTGCATTAGTTTTAAATATTGCAGAACGGAACAAAAAGGAACAGCCACAGTTTTTGCAGAATTGCAGGTGACAGGCTGCTGCTACAGAATTCTGTGTAGTATTAATTACGTGTCAGAAGCACAATAATGGTGAAACAGCATCTAAGCAGGTGTAATATTAAATATATAAATTAAATTTGACCGACTAGACTATTTCTATAGCAGGGTTAACCCTAACAATTTCATCAGTACAACAACACAGTCATGTCATACTGACCATTCTGTTCATCTCAGTTTAACTTTTTAATTCAAATAATTACACTAATTAATTCCAGTCGGTTTTGCCGACACACGTGTTTCTTTCCCCTCTGGCATTTTACCGCAAAGTCCAATAATTGCACTGATTTAAAAAAAGATAAGTGGGAACTTAGTCCACTGGAGTTGTTTCCCTAATGTCTTTCTCTGATGAAAGAGTTCTGGGTACAACAACAAAAAACTAAATTTACAAATAAGGCAGGGCAATTTTATTTTTTATTTAAGTTTCATACACAGAGGGAGATTCAAGGTGCTGTACATAGTTAAAAGCAATACAGTTCAAATATAAAACCACATGGTTCAAAGATGAAACCACACTGTTCAAAGATAAAAACAGCACAGTTCAAAAACAAAACATGCAGTAAGTAAATAAATGTGAATAAAAACATATTCAAAAATAAATAAAACTGAATAATAATAATAACACCTTGTGTTTTAGAAACATTTAGGTAAAAGAACTTGAATAAAGAGGTTTTCAGTCTGGATTTAAAAACTGCAGTGGTTGCAGCATTCGTAAGACCATCAGGGAATTCGTTCCAGCTCTGTGCCGCATAATGACTCAAAGCTGCCTGTCCTTGTTCAGATTTGCCCTGGGCACCACTAGCAGTCCACTCCCCAGAGTTCTAAGGGATATCACAGGGTAATATTGCTCAAGCATATCAGATATGTATTTAGGGCCAACTCCATGTAAAGATTTATAAATAAGTAATACAACTTTTAAATCAATTCTGTAGCTTACTGGCAACCGCTGTAGACATTTAAGAACTGGTGTGATTTTGGCTATCTTGGTTAGTGGCTATATGTTAATGAGTTGCAGGTGCCTGATGGTCTTTTTAGAAAGTCTTGTCAAAAGTTTATGTAGTAGTCAATTGTGCTAGAAATAAAAGCACAGTTTTTCCACGTCTTTTTTTATCATCAAATTCCTCACTTTGGCTTAAGGTGATAAAATGCATATTTTGTTGGGGGTTTTTTTGCTTTCATATGAAGCAAAAATTGTATATATGTTATATATAAACACTTTATGCCATAAACACAGAGGTTCCTTCTCTTTAGTTTTTAGCACCTTGTCCTCTAGGTGAGCAGTACCCTTACAGTAAATGGGAAGGACAAAAATTAGAAACTGGATTTAAAATACAGTCTAACTTTATTGACCTGATACTATATTCACTGAAAAAAGTGATTCTGACCCCTAGTAAATGTTTTTTTCAGTGTATAATAAGCAGGCATACACACATCAAGGGCGGCTGTGGCTCGTTCCTTAATTGGAAGCTTGTGGGTTCGATCCCCGGCTCCTGGTGCCACATGTTGAAGCATCCTTGAGGAAGATACTGAACCCCAAATTGCTCCCGATGCTGTGCATCAGTGTGTGAGTGTGTATGAATGTTAGTTTCTGTTCGATGACTTTGCCATCACTGAGTGAATGTGTGTGAAAGGGTGAATGTGGCATGTAGTGTAAAAGCACTTTGAGTGGTTGGAAGACTAGAAAGGCACTATACAAGTACAGGACCATTTACATCTTTTGTACATGGCCCACACTGTGGCATTCCAAGTCTTTGCTGTTTGCGTTCAGGTGTTATTGAAGGTGTCAGTGAAATCCAGGACCTTAGCCTATTTCTCTGACTGTGTGGTGTTTGCTTGCAGATGGCCGCCCGCTGTCCTGGTGGGTGGACCAGGGAGGAGAGAGGCGTAGCTACTGGGGAGGCTTCCTGCCTGGAGTCCAGCAGTGCTCCTGCAGCCTGGAGGAGAACTGCATTGACATGAACTACTTCTGCAACTGCGATGCTGACATAGACACATGGTACGTAACACATACACAACAAAAACATAAAACAGTAACTGTGCCTGATCCTGTCTCCACTGCACAGCTCTGAAAACTCTCAAAGCTGGAATTAACCTTTACAAACCACCAAAACTGCAGTCAGTTCATCAAAAGTATTAAAAAATCTGCAATCTGCATAAATCTAAAAAAAAAAAAAAAGTAAAAAATATTTACAGTATACTACTAGGGCTGTCCCAAATACCGCTTCTGGGCTTCAAAGCTTCGTGGGGAAGCTCTCTGTCATAAAGCGGACATAGGATTTTCCTTTTTTTTGTCTTTTATATTACGAAGAAAATGGCAAACTTGCAATCATTTACTTATACTACAGGATGTTGTTATTACTGTAATTCTGAATTCATTCCAGACTTTTTGACATCATGCTAGTAGTTGTAACCAGTATGCTGGTTAAATGTCCTCGTCTGAGAATAATTAACTGTATATGTTCATGCATAATGAATAATAATGGATTCATATTTTTTTTTTTTTTGGGATATCCATTAAAGAAAGGTTTTGATTGCTGATTTTGACATCAATTACTATGCCAATGTCAAAGCTTTGAAGCAGGCAGGCCAGCCTTATATATTACATTATGCTTTGTGTACCTTGTATGTGTACATACAGTATATGTATGTATATAGATATATAGACAGAGAGAGAAACAGAGAAAGAGAGAGAGAGCTGCTGGAAGGCTTTTGATTTGAAGCATCTATACAGGGAGGGCTGTGATGTATGACAGTAGCTTGAGAATGAAAAATGAACAAGAAAACACAGAAATTTTGTGTATTTGATCATTTATGCAACTAAACAGTACCTGGATGTTTCTCCAGATTGGACCCATTTGAGATTAAACACTCATAAAACACATTACAGGCTATTTTCACCTTAAAACATTCTGTTTCATATTTGCTTCCAAATGATTAATTACAGTTCATAAATTACTAAAATTATGCTCAAAAGAATCATCATTCCAAGCACAGGGTAGCACAGGTTTGGTGTCTTACACTCTCTGAATCCCTTTGCATACTGTCTGTTAATCTTCATCCCGGCCAGTCCTCACTGGGATTTCACATTAGGGAGCTTCATTTGCATTTTCCCACAGGCACTTGTATGCATTGTGATGTATCGCTCTGTTTTCATGTGTTTACTCTGCGGAGGAATACATTCCTATATCAAGACTCTGTTTCTGTCACAGGGCTAATGACACAGGAGTCCTCTCCTATAAAGACCACCTACCAATGAGCCACATCGTGATCGGGGACACCAACAGGACAGGCTCGGAGGCCATCTACCGAATTGGCCCCCTGCGTTGTTATGGAGACAGTAGGTGATCACTTCAGTATTAAAGCTGCAGTTTGGAGTTCTGGATGCAAATGGAGGCTTTGATTCGCAGGCTGGATACTCATATTCATATTATCTATTTATTATCTATCTTATTTTTATCTTGCTGTAGGGGTTACGCTACTATTTAATAAGAAAGGTAATTAATCAATTCAATTTCAATTCAATTTTATTTGTATAGGGCCAATTCATAACAGAAGTTATCTCAGGACACTTTATAAATAGAGTAGGTCTAGACCGAACTCTTAAAAACATTATTTACAGAGACCCAACAGTACCACCATGAGCAAGCACTTGGCGACAAGGGCAAGGAAAAACTGCCTGTTAAAAGGCAGAAACCTAGGACAGATCCTTCCGCTCTAGGTGGGTGGTCGTCTGCCTCGATCAGTTGGGGTGAGAGAGGGAGAGACAGAGAGAGAGAGAGACAGACAGACAGACAGACAGACAGACAGACAGACAGACAGACAGGTGCACAGCAACAACAGTATTGGCAATGGCAATCTAGCAGGACCATGGCAGGAGGCTCCACCAGGATCGATAAGAACCTGCGAGACGAGAAAGCACAAGAACTCCGGGGAAGAAGTGAAGTTAGTAGCATGCATTAATGGAACATGAATGACAGAGGAAGAGAGGAGCTCAGTGCATCATGGGAAATCCCCCGATAGTCTAGGCCTATAGCAGCATAACTAAGGGATGGTTCGGGACTCACCTGATCCAGCCCTAACTATAAGCTTTATCAAAGAGGAGCGTCTTAAGCCTACTCTTGAATGTGGTGAGGGTGTCTGCCTCCCGAGCCACAACTGGAAGCTGGTTCCACAGGAGAGGAGCTTGGTAACTGAAGGCTCTGGCTCCTGTTCTACTAGAGACTATAGGAACCACAAGTAGCCCAGCATTCAGAGAACGTAGTGTTCTAGTGGGGTAATAGGGTACTATGAGCTCTTTAAGATATGAAGGGGCCTGACCATGAAGAGCTTTATAGGTGAGGAGGAGGATTTTAAATTCTATTCTACATTTTACAGGGAGCCAGTGCAGAGAAGCTAGTACAGGAGACATGTGATCTCTTTTCCTAGTTCCTGTCAGTACTCATGCTGCAGCGTTCTGAATTAATTGGAGCGTCTTAATGGACTTATTGGGGCAACCTGATAATAAAGAGTTGCAGTAATCCAGCCTTGAAGTAACAAATGCATGGATTAGTTTTTCTGCATGTGTCTGTGATAGGATGTGTCTAATTTTTGTAATATTACGTAATATCACTGGTGATTAATAATACACTCGTAAATGGGGCACCACCTCCGTTGTTTAGTTACTGGAATAATCCGGAGGAAATTATTCTACAAACCTAATCAAATCAGTTTATTCAATTTCAAAATCTATGTTCAATCTCATATTCTGAAATAGTGATTTCTTTTACACGATTCATCGATTTCCCCACATCAAATCAACCTACACAGACAAGGACATATGGTTATATATGTTTATTAACTAAATTAATGAAGAGTAAATAGCATGAAATGACAATTCAAACAAAGAACAACAAGTAACAGAATATGTGGACAGTAAATGAATTATTAATATTGTGTGATTCAGGAGCGATGCTGGATATTGCGATATAGCAGTACATTTAAAATATTACAGGAGTAACTTTTAAAACTACGAGGCCCTAATCGAAAATTCTTCTAAGCTTAAACTATGGGAATCAAAGCTCTCAGACAGACACCAACTCTTGGGAAGTGTGTGGGACCTCAGCAGTGTATGTGGGTTTCAGCCTACTTTTTGTAGAGATGGAGGGACTTCAGGATCTTTCTCCTCCTATGTACTGCTCTGCTGCTGTTCAGAATCACAGGTCCAAGAACGTCTCGTCACCGATACCAATTAGCTCTCCAGTCCAAGGCCCAGCGCGGCTTGACACTTTGAGTGCGTTGGAGGCAGATAGTCTGGAGAATAATGTCTTTGTCCGGCTGAAACGTTTATACGTGTCCTTGAGCGGTCAACCACTGCGATGTCCTTCTGGCTTATGATAAATGTCTTAAGAAAAGTTCCTCAGTTCGGCTTTGATTATGAATTAATCCAGCTTCTTGTCTAAAATAACTGTAGGACGAAACGCTGGCCTGGCAAATCCTCTGTAGTCAGTAAATCCAAGAATTAAATTAAATTCACTTTCTGTGAATAAGGCGACAATACTTGACAATATTTATAAACAAAAAAATCGTATAAAAGAATTAACTTTGTTCATGTCTTGAGCCTTCAAAATAAAAGTACTAAAAAGTACTTCAGCACCGCGAACTATTACGTGAGGAAAAATTCAACACGTGTCTCAAACGAAGTAAAGTAAAGTACGGAAATTAAAAGTAGAACGAGAGTAAATAACGAATGGATCCAAAGCAAATTTAAGAAGAGAGTTTTGGAAGTGTAAAAGTAAGAAGAGAATAAAAAGAGAATAAGAGTGACCGTAGTCTATATTATATATATATGTTTTAGTCTGGAGGCGTATCCGGAGAGGCTAACTACTTCCTTTAGTGATATTTTGATATTCGTAACTTTATTAACTTACTTCTATCGTGTTTTAAAGTTTCGAAATCATGACTTAATACATAGTTTACATGTTTTAAATTACCTGATGTAAAAATAAAAGCAGAACTAGTCACAAACATGCATATGAAGCAACACTAATTGATTGTACATATTTCGTATAGCGTTAGCTTAATTCTTGTTACAAAATTATGTGTCAGGCATTTACCATTTGGAATAATACACTTTTATAAAACAGTCCGTTTTGAGGATACCTTATGCTATACCAGAATCTTACCAAAAGGTGGCACTGTGGCTCCATCAAACATTCAGACATGATAATAGATGATAATAGACGATGACAAGGTCATACAGTGCCCTCTTGTCTTATTTTTGCAATAAGGAAATAAATAATAACACTCAAAATATAAATAAACTATTTCCATTCAAATGCATAACAATGCAAACATGGTTGTGTCAATTATGTAATATGAGCATTTATAATCTGAGATACAGATAAAATATTGATGTTGATTGATGCAATCATATAAATCACCAAACAATATTTCAATTATTTATTTCTATTGGTATTTTACAAATTAAATGCTGTGTGTGTTTGTGCCGATCTGCACCATCCACATAGCACTTTCCTGAAGAAGTATGTTTCCATTTGTTGAGCTATTGTAATAATAATAATAATAATAATAATAATAATAATAATATTAGCAGTGTTTGTCAAGCAGGACCATGGCAGTAGGCACCACCAGGAGTTAGAGAAGAAGGGAGGAGCTCAGTGCAACATTGGAAGTCCCCTGGCAGTCTAGGCCTATAGCAGCATAACTAAGGGATGGTTCAGGACTCACCTGATCCAGCCCTAACTATAAGCTTTATCAAAGAGGAATGTCTTAAGCCTACTCTTAAATGTGGAGAGGGTGTCTGGCTCCTGTTCTACTTTTAGATACTATAGGAACCACAAGTAGCCCTGCATTCAGAGAGTGCAGTGTTCTAGGGGGGTAGTAGGGTACTACTGAGTTGTTTAAGATATGAAGTTGCCTGACTATGAGGAGCTTTGTAGGTGAGGAGGAGGATTTTAAATTCTTTTTAATAGAATATGATGGTCAGTGGTGTCAAATGCAGCACTAATATCTTACAGGGGATTAATTATTTTTCCTTAAAGTACTGTGGTACATAGCCTGATGATAAAGACAGATTGATAATATCTAGTAAAGAAGTGCCAACTAAGGGTAAGACTTCTTTAGGCAACCTAGCTGGGATGGACAGGTCGATGTATATCCTGACAGTAGTAGATGAGAAAGATTATCTGTGAAAAAAATATTTTTTTCTGGCTCGTTCTAGTGCTGCTAATGGTATTTGCAAGAATCCTCCAGGCTTGGATGAAAACTACAATTCAAACCTCGTTCACATGGGTCGACTGAGCAGCACAGCAGCGTCTGGCAAGCGTGCTGTGTTAACACAGAGCCATTCCTATGTTTCTTCATACACTTTACTTTATATAACGTTCGTAAAGAGGAATTAAATTTACAATGCCATATATATGTAGTTTGAACGGGCGGCTGTGGTGCAGAGGCAGAGTGGGTTGTCCTCTAATCGGAAGGTTGTTGGTTCAATCCCCAGCTCCTCCTGCCACATGTCGAAGTATCCTTGAGCAAGATACTGAACCCCAATTGCTCCCAATGCTGTCCATCGGTGTATGAATGTGTATGAATGTGTTAGTTTCTGTTCGATGGTTCGCTGTCTGAATGTGGCATGCATGTAGTGTAAAAGCGCTTTGAGTGAAGACTAGAAAGGCACTATAGAAGTACAGGTCTATTTACCATTTAAACATAAATGTGAAGTGGTAACCAGAAAGCTGTCTCGCAGTAAAAATAGGCAAGACTTCGACTCTTTAGTGAAGCGTCGCTGCAGACACAGTTGAGATATGTGTGAGACTTGCTCTAATCTGTTAACATGGGCATCAAAATAAAAATCAAGATGTTCCGCCATGCACACACGGGCGATGTGAACAAGCTGTCAGAGCCAAGAAACATATTTGACTGTTGAATCTCATTCCCAGGTTGTCCCAATATGGATGCTGGGAATGAGACTTAACAAGTAACTATCTTTAACCCTTCAATCCAAAGCGTCTTTATATCTTTCTCGGCTCTGATTGGTGAGTTGTGAAACATTGTCTACAATAAATTCTTACTTAAGTTTCCCCTCTTGTAAATTCTGCATATGTAATACATTCAAATTATTCCTTTGTATTACAACTACTGTCTCTTCCAGTGTGTTGCAGTACCAGCTGGTAGAATTATCTATGACTACATAACTTATGTGCCTTGTTAACAGCAGATCAGTTGCACACAACTCTTTTTTGTTTATTATATTTGTATATTATGGCTATGTCCTGTGTATGTTCTGTGATTTACTGTACATTCAACATGGAGCAGCTGGTTATCTTGTGAGGTTAGCATGTGAGCATGCATAGGACTGAAGAGTTCAGACTGAAAATATAATGTGTGTGATTTAATGCACATATGAGGGTGACTGACCTTTGTGATTGGTTCTCTAGATGACGTCAATCCCTATGAGGGGCTGAGTCAAATAATAGAATACCTCAGATGCTCTGAGTACAAGCACAGCCTCATCCTCCAGATCAGCCATACTAGCCACTAATGCTGGCGACTCCAGGACTCCTTACTTTACCCTTGAATAGTTATGATGTGGTTTTGTTAACTGCTTGTTCCCCTTCAATGTGTGACTGAAGGTTCTGCCTTGCTGTCAGCCTTCCACCAGGACGCCTGCTCCTGTACTCCTTTTTTATTTTCTTTCAGAGTCCATCTGGAACGCAGCATCCTTCTACCAGGAGTCATCCTCCCTCCTCTTCCCCACCCTGCGGGCCGAGCTCGCCTTCGACATCTCCTTCTACTTCAAGACCACTGCTAATTCAGGGGTCTTTCTGGAGATCATGGGTCATAAAGACTTCATCCGAGTGGAGCTCAGCTGTGAGTGACTTATCAACACATAGCCAGCAGCCAGAATAAGATTCATATGAAACAGGACAGTGGAGAGAGTGAATAATCAGTAATACCACACAGAAAGATAAGACAGGATAAGATAAGATTAGATGTTCCTTTACTGATCCCCTGTGGGAAAATTTCACATTTGACACAGCAGCATAGGGGGAAATGTAATGTGCAATAAGTACACAGTGTTAAAATTACAATAAAGAATACTAAGTAATAATATTATGAAGATATAAAAGAAAATATAAAGACTATAATTTAAAGTATATTTACCATTAATACCACACAGAAACTTAAGTTGCTTTTCTCAGATGGAAATGCACATCATGCTGAATCCGTTAGGAGCAGAGTATGATTTCCTTACTGGCTTTGTACAGTAGGTTGTACACAAAAAATAATCAGAATTACAAAACTGTGCACGCAATTTCCTCTTCATTTATCACAACCAACTTATCATTGCACAGATGAATTTGCCTATATTACATTACATATTATACATTAGGTTTTTTCTGAGGAAGGAACTCTGGATTTTTCTCAGGATCTTTGGAGCCATAATGTTTCACCGCAGGTTCCTGCAGCATCAAAGACTTGGTGAAATATTGACGAGCTGTCAGCCGAGCCTCCTCATAAATCCATTGAGGTCATCAAGCTCCCCCTGCAGCATTATATCATGTTGCATCAGCCAGGGATAATATAGACTATACATAAAAAAACAAGCATAAGATGTGATCTGACCCAGCTGTCGCGTCTGTGTGTGTGTGTGTGTGTGTGTGTGTGACCTACCAGCTCCCTCAGTGGTTACTTTCTCCTTTGACGTGGGAAACGGTCCAGCAGTCCTTTCTGTGAAGTCCCACCTCCCTCTGAATGACAGGCAGTGGCACTACGTGAGGGCTGAGCGTAATGTGAAGGAAGCCTCGCTGCAGGTCAACCAGCTCCCTCTCCGCTTCCTGGACGCTCCGGCTGACGGACACCGCCACTTACGCCTCAGTGGCCAGCTCTTTGTAGGTATGACAGCTGATGACTGGAGAACAGAGGGATTTAAGATCAGATGCACATCACGTCACCATCCAATTCCTTTGAAGCCTTGGAGGGCACTATCCCACTTATACCACAGTTAGAAAAATTTAAATTTCAACTGACTCTGTTTTGACTAATACCTGCAACAAAACGTTGAAACGTTGTTCACTACTCCAGTAAAAAGGAAAAACTTTATATACGACTTGGCAATGGGAGATATTTTGAGTTCCCTGCGTTCATGGAACCCTTTGGCTCAACTACGAGCCAGAGAGCTAATGTTATTCTCGCAAGATTTAGAAGACTTTAGAATGTCATTGACATGTCACTGTCCACAAATCAATATTCGCCCTGTTATTGGAGTTTTACATACCAATAACATGACATGTGTAACTTACTGTTAGCTGCAGCCTGAAGTAGTGAGTTAAATAGCCAATGGGATATGAGATGATTAAATTCTATTCAGTTCAATTTTATTTTTATAGCACCAATAGATAATAAAAGTTATCTCAGGACACTTTTCAAATAGAGCAGGTCTAGACCGTACTCCTTATAAAAATTGTTTACAGAGACCCAACAGTACCACCATGAGCAAGCACTTTGTGACAACGGCAAAATCTTTTGCTAATGCAGTTGAGGATAGGTGAGAAAGATTACTGTGTAACCTGGTTAATTAAGTGCATGTAAACATACTTAATGTGAAACTGTATTTAACTATCTCACAAATAGTCACATATACGTGTTTTTACTTCCTGTAAATTTAAGCAAAAGGCTTAAATCTAAAGTAATGAATACAATAGCTGACTCAAACCTGATCTACATTTTATGATATAATGAGTTTAGATGAGATTTCTCATCATAAAGTCAGTGTTTGATGGTTGTCCCAGGTGGAACAGCGTCCCAGCAGAGAGGCTTCTTGGGCTGCATTAGGACATTGACTTTCAACGGTGTGACCTTTGACCTGGAAGAGAGGGCCAAGATGGTGCCGGGGGTGAGCTCTGGTTGTCCAGGTTACTGCAGCAGCTCCAGCAGCCTTTGTCACAACAGCGGGAAGTGTATTGAGAAAAGCAGTGGCTACACATGCGACTGCTCGCAGTCAGCCTTTGGAGGACCCACCTGTAAAGAAGGTGAGACTGACTCATCATTTCATTTTGATTATACAATGCAAACAACTACAATATAAATATATTCAATTAAAATCCATGACGCTACTCTTGTAGAACATGCTTTTACCTTCAAGCACAATGACTGACCTGTTTTCACCTGTGTTTTCAGGTATCATTATACCTCAGTGTGTCAACACTTACCACAGTCACTTTTTTGCATTATTTAATATAGATTAGATAGAATATAGATTCATGAAACAAGTGTTTCCAGGTAACAGGTCACTGCATAAACATATTATTTTTTACAGTATTACTTGCAATAAAAGGGAATGTTTGGAACATAAGTGAGGATTAATTTTGGCATTATAATATGGTAATTACCAATTTTGACTTCAAAGTTTCATGTGATTTTGAAGGTATTTTGCTGATAGAAGCCTATAATATTATGAAAACAACCTTTATTACCTCATTATTATCAGGTTATTACCCAATTAATGTGTCTCAGCTTTCCAGTCATTCCCAGTTTATACAATTCCAATACTGTTTATTGACCTCCGTATGCACAAATGTTGAAATACGCTAGGTGAAAATAACAGATTTATACCACATGGAAATGCCTGGTTTTTGCCCCAAAACTGCATAAAGGGATTAGCATAAAGTGGGCATGCGAAGGGGAGACTCATGGGTACCAATAGTACCCAATTTCATTCAGATATCTTGAGCTCAGAGGTCTAGGAGTTTTTCAGAATTTATGAAATGTCAGAACCCAATTGTGCTTGTTCGGTATACATTTTCAGCTGTGATGTCTCTTGGCAAAACAAACTGTTTTCTGTTTTCTAAGCAGTAGGAGGCCAAATTTCAGAAGCTCAGTTTGGCTCAGTATGAGTCTGTAGTCACAGTGAGCCATGTTTATTGTATGTAGCAAGTATTGCTGCATTAACATGACAAACATCCTCAGGTGACAATCTGAATAAAGGTTAGGAAAAGTGTACTCGGCTGGCTTAGTCAAAGGATGATACTGGGGCTCAACATTTTCACATTTTTATTGCTTACTTTCTTCTCTGAGGTTTGCTTAAAGGAGTCAGATAAAGAAGACAGTACAAGAAAACTGTTTAGTGTGACAAGTGACGTGTCACTTTCAATTAAATTTTTATTTGTATAGCGCCGATTCATAACAGAAGTTATCTCAGGACACTTTTCAAATAGAGCAGGTCTAGACCGTACTCCTTATAAAATTATTTACAGAGACCCAACAGTTCCCACCATTCAAACCAATCTGTTGGTACAATTGTATGGGCTGATTTTTGTGTCAGTAGAAACTGAATCTGATTTGCTCAACTTGAATAATTGCATTGAAAAACGGAATTGCATAATTTGAATTTGTATTGTTAAGCTTGAATAACTGTATTGAAAAACTGAATCTGAATAGCATAATTTGAATTTGAATTTATTAGTTTGAAACTGAATTTGAGCCTCACTAAAAATTCAACTTTTTATGTACTTTCAAATTCAGTTCTCTAAATTCAAATTCAGATCTCTAAATTCAATTTCAGTTCTCTAAATTCAAATTCAGCTCTCTAAATTCAAATGTCGTTATCTCAACTCAATTTCAAACCACTAGATTACACTTTTAAGTCGCAGACGGGTCAAGGTGTTCAGTAAGAGCAATCAAGTGCAGATGCACAGAGCTCCTTTTTGGCTAAGCAGCACATTTGTTTTGAACATTTCCTGGACCTGTAGACATTGGCTAGCGAAAAACATGCTTAAAGGAGACATATAATTCCCCTTTTTACGTTCATAATTGTATTTTTTGAATTTTCTTTTATTTTGGTTTCGTGTGTGAACCACTTCGTGTTGTACTGTTTTCACAACCTCGGTCAGTACAACACTGGACCGGCTGAAAGACTGTTCCTGAAAGAGGGATTGTACCAACTGTCTGTGGAGAGACGGCAGAGGAAGTAACTGTAAGTATTTTTAAGAATTTATGCTGTTTCTCATTGTTCGTTTAACGCTAGCACATGCTAACCGTTGTTAGCTACAGGAGCCTCAGTGATGCTAACATAGTTATTGTTTGTTAAATGTTTGTTAAATGTTTGTTAAATGTGTGCAAGATGAACATGAAACTTATAAGGTGAGGTTAATTTATTTAGCCAACTGGTGCAGATGTCTCCATATTCTCCCCTGCTGCTATTTTTTATAGAGATTCACACAGTGAAAGTTTATGCCGTGAATCACCAAGCTTCGTGCGACGTGCTGATGTTATCTCAGCTAGCATTAGCTTTGTTGTTCTTCTGCTTCGTTCAGGTATGTGTGTATGTGTTTTACGGTGTGTGTGTGTGTTACGGTGTGTAAATTAACTTGATCTACGTGCACCGGAGTTAACAATAGAGCAACTGTGAGAGAGAAATAGTCAAACTCACTAGAGCAACAAGGGACCCACCAGAGACACTGCTTTATTATTATTAGGGACAGAGCACGAACAAGTGCAAGGCCCTATTGTAACCCTTGGAATTATTAGGGACCGAGCACTAACAAGTGCAAGGACCCTTTTGTTCTTCTAGGAATTATTATTATTTTTCTGCCTGTACGACTGCATATTTGGCCCCCGCAACATGCTCAAAAAGTTTGCACGAAATTCAAACGTAGCAAAACTACCGATATGACATTGCCCCCGTGCACGGGCGCCGCCGAACGTTTAAGCCACGCTCCCCAGAATCAGCCCCCAAGACACGTAAGGCCCACATGTACGAAAATTGCTACGCATGTGTATCATGATAAAAGAAGCAGAAAAGCCTCTTGGACCCGTGCCCCAAAACCCACAGGAAGTCTGCAATTTTAATTTTTAATTTTCACTCATGGCGTCCATTTTGTGGTCATTTTGACTTTTTGGGCTTGTATTGGAACGAACTCCTCCTAGGGAATTTCTGTGATCTCCTTCAAAATTGGTCAGTACAGTCAGAAAATGGTGCTGAATGAACGCTGTTCAATTTGTGTCTGTACATTGAAGGGCGTGTCCGTGGCGTGCCGTCAAAGTTGGCCATAGTGAATTCCGTGCGCATTTTCGGTGATTTTTCGGTGATTTTTCCACGTTGTATTTGAACGAACTCCTCCTAGGGAATCTATCGGATCTGCTTCAAAATCGGTGAGTACAGTCAGAAAATGGTGCTGATTAAAAGTTGTGCTATTTGTGCATGTACATTAAAGGGCGTGTCTGTGGCGTGCCCTCAAAGTTGGCCATAGTGAATTCCGTGCGCATTTTCTGTGATTTTTTGCGTTGTATTTGAACAAACTCCTCCTAGAGAACTTAACAGATCTGCTTCAAAATTAGTCAGTACAGTCAAAAAATGGTGCTGATTAAAAGTTGTGCTATTTGTGACAGTACGTTAAAGGGTGAGTCCGTGGCGTTCCCTCAAAGTTGGCCAGGTTGAATCGAATGTCAAACTGTGATGCTATTTCCAGCATTTAAGGGCTTCTGTTTTAACTGACTCCTCCTACAGATTTTATCAGATTGACTTCAAATTCGATCACTTCAATCTACACACATTGGTTATCAAAAGTTGTGCTATTTGTGACTGTATGTTTAACCGTGTGCCCGTGACGACGTGTCGAATTCCACCGATTGACCATCAAACAGATAGTACTCATATCTTCAGTGTACAGTCCCACCCTGAACACGTCCTCATAACTTGAGCGTACGTGATCCAATCTCAGTGAAACTTCACGTGTTTGATAACAGTCCCACCCTGAACACGTCTACATGACAATATTCAGACATAGTGATAGCGCCACATACTGGTAACAGGAAGTATCACGTTTTATACTTTCATGTTCTACTCCAGGCAGGATGATCAGATCCAGCTGAAATTTACTTATAAAATGCAAAACACATTGTTGATGATATGTGTTGACTCCACAGTCAACACATATCTGTGGGGTGGCGGGAAATTTTGATGGACCACCACAAAACACGAATTCGCTAAACTTGAGTGTACATTGTCCAATTGGCTCCACACTTCAAATGCTTGATAACAGTCCTGCCCTGAACACGTGTACATGACAATATTCAGACATAGTGATAGCGCCACCTACTGGCAATAGGAAGTAAGCGCTGCATGGCGACTTTTAGCGAGTTACGTGAAATGACCGTGCTGGTGACGACTTGTCAAATTCAGCAGATTCGCCATAAAACAGCACTCATAACTTCAGTGTGCAACGTCCAATCTCCAGTAAACTTCATATATTCTGTAACAGTCGCGCCCTGAACACATCCTCATAACTTCAGCGTACGTGGTCCAATCTCAATGAAACTTCACATGTGTTACAACAGTCCCGCCCTGAACTTGTCTACATGACAATATTAAGACATAGTGATAGCGCCACCTACCGGCAACAGGAAGTAAGCGCTGCGTGGCAATTTTGAGCTGATTTACGTGAAAAATTCATGTTTTGGTCTGCACGTGTAACGACGGCACGCGACATGGCCGCAGCACGCCCCGAGTTGCGTGGAGTGCGAGGTCCCGCCCAACGCTGCTTGCAGCTTTAATTAGGGACCTCGCAAGCGACCGCTGGAGGTCCCTATTGTATTTGCTCGATTTCTTCTTACCTATTATTATTATTTTTAGCCCCTATTGACTGCATTTTTGCCCCCCTGAACATCTACGAAAAGTCAATTTTATTTGGCAAAGTGGTCAGGCCTGGTGAAAATGGGGATATTACATGCGTCGCTTTCGGGTCTGCCACTAGGTGGCGCTACTATCATAAAAAATGCGTTTAGGCTAATAACTTCTGCATAGTTTGTCGCACATTCAAAAAACTTACATCCACGTGTTCGGTGAATGGAGCTGAATCTCCCCATATAAGCCCCGCCCACTTCCGCCTAGAATTTTTTTTTTCTAGAGCGCAAAATGTCCATAAACTACTTTTAAGTGTTCCTCCTACACGCTTTTTCCGATTCGCACGAAATTTTTCACCTACTACCTGGGGACCGCCCTGGCAAAAAGGCTAATTTGAACATTTTTGAA